TTGAACAGGAAGGAGCTTAAGGAGCTTCCAACTACTCTGACGTGCAGCATTCTTCGACTTCCGAGCAACTTTCGACTCGGTACACCGTCAGACCTTGTCTCGAATACTGCGACACTATGGAGTACCGTAGAAGATCATCGGTCTGCTGAAAGGACCATACTAAAGTACTAAACGCGCCATCAGAGCTGAAGAGTTGTTGTCGGACTGGTTTACCGGTCTCGAACACGGTGGTGGATTACCTGCTGAGGAGCGTCGTCCCCAACAACAACGAGTGATTTACTGTGAGACGATGACTCAGCCGAAGGTACTCAGCAGTACTTGTAACAGCCCTCGAGTATGTTGACGACGCCGTACTGCTGAGCGACTCTGCCAGTGGCTTACTGGCACTAACTAGAGAACATGCAAGATGACCTCAACGGTAGGCGCAGGTTAATCAAAACGAAGATCTTTCACGCATCCGACTCGATAGGTTATTACCTATGCGAGCGCCATGACAGACCGTTAACCAAACGACGTGTTACAACAGATTATTGTGCGAAACAACACTTACACTAGAGACTTGGTTCACCTTTGTATATTGAAATCAGGCCCAATGCGACTTCATATGTACATGTATAAAGAAAATACATGCAAAGACAAATTTCCTAACGGCATCTGCGCGGTGCATGAAGCTAGTTTCTTAGACTCTTACATAAAATGAAGCGTTACAACACTCGACCGCAACTGATGACTGTACCTGCGCTTGCTACGTAAGGTCAGATGACAAAATAACACCTTCGTATCGACAGTGTCACAGTAGAGGACGAAAGTGTGATTCGTGAACAGGGAAGTGAGAAGAAGGATCCAGGAGTATTGTACTCCTCGTATTTCGCATCATGCGGGTAAGTTCTGTAGTTTACGATGCAAGCAAGCAAAGTTTATTACTAAAGAAGTACTGGCATGTGCTCCAAATGCCACCTTGTATTCCTTCTAGTCCTCTGGCGATTTCACTGATTTATCCTTATCGTCGGCGTAGTTGATGCACTTATGACGGAGCGACGGTAAGGTCACAGGCATTCGCAAAGAAGTTGAAGATAAGAGGGGAGGGAACGGAACCTGAACTACGCGGAGAGGAACTGGACTTCTTCCTGCAAATCTTGACGAACTGAAGGCAGGGGGAAAAGTAGCCAGAGAAGCATAGAATGATTCAGGGATCGATGGCTACGGTGCTGGGGTTCCAGAGCGATACAACATTGACGGTAGAATTAAGGTCGAAGATTAACAAAGCTGCTATTCGTCTGTCTTTCTCAACTGCTTAACCATGTCGATGATGTGGTGACCGACGAAAGTAAAAACGTCATGCACCATTTCGTCAGAAAGCCAGCCTCTACTCATGGGATAAACAACATGATCGTAAAATTTGATCACTTTCGCTTTATAGATGAACATTAAAAAGAAGAACTCTCACTTCTGTATAGCGAAGTCTACGATTCAATAGTCTTCATGACGATTGCATCCGCTTGAGGTGTAACACAGTTTACGACAAACCATCTTTGTATGAGAACCGTCAGTTTGGACCTTTCCCGTTTTCAAGCATTTGGAAAATATCCGAGATCTGTTGCCGAACAGTTTAAACAGAGCTTACGTGTGTGACAGCGTTAGTGTGACGTGAACTTCCGTCCAGCTGAAAGAATGTAGTTTAATAGCGTAGGAATGACTGTTCGTGATGAGGAAAAATCTGGAATTAGTACCTTTGAAAAAGTTCAGGAACCAGCTGAAAAAAAATATAATAATAGGTATCTAATGTGCCATTCTATGATCGAGAGAACACTAGAAAATTGCTCTTCCTGTCCGGTCACAACAAAAACCTACTTTGTAAGAGAGGGTAAGTCGAATAAAACATTCAGACTAAGGCAGTTAAAATTTAAGGAAAGACCTCAAACCTAAGGAACGCGCTTTTGAACTAGCTGGTAACTCAAGATCACATTAGGGAAGAAAACTGCTTCATTCTTATTACGTCATGAGTGAATTGCCACAGCATTAAAATGACAGCAGTATAAAGTTGAACTCCGCTGTAAGCAGGGTAAAAAAGCGGTGCCCTAAGGACGAATAAAATAAACAGTTCAACGAAGAGGGTGCAGAAAATCGCGAAAGCGACATTTCGACCGCAATGATACAATTATGGAAGTTGATTTTTGGTTCTCTTCCATCAATATGAAATGCTAAAAAGTAGAAAAGACAAAAATATTATAAACATATGAAACGTCTGCTCAGAGAATCTGCATAGCAATTTTGCAAGTCGAAAGTTGATTTTCACATCCTGTTTATAAGGCAAATTGGAGTGACATGCAAAAACAAACACAGCTTTGATTTTGCACACAATAGCAACTGATATTAAAATAAAGCAAGTAAAAATAATCAATAATTAATGTACCGAACCGAAACGATTTCTTTACTTACAGAGTCATACGCTGTCGATGAGGCATCGATGACACAAGTAGTCTTGTGCCGTTTTTCCGCTGACGTCCATGACGTCCGAGTCACAGACACTGTTCAGAAACGGAACACAGTTGAAACTGCGGTCGATCGTCGCCACATGAAGTGCCGTTCGGCCGAAGTTATCGACCGCCCTCATGTCACCACCGTTTTCGTACAGAAATGTTAGTGCCTCAAGACGTCCACCCTGAAAGCGTTATGGTAATTATCGTGTGATGTCGACGTAGTTACGATAAAAACGCTAGTTAGATTACTGGCGAACGATACCCTGAGCTGGAGAAGTATAAGGACACTAAAAAAGAAACACTTCTAACACGTATCTCTCGTGATGGGAGGGGGAGGAGGGGGTACAAGGCGCGTCAGTTTTGTCATAAAGTTACGGGTGAGGTGTTTAACGCCATTTCCTCAGAACCAGCCAGAAATGGCTCATTTTAAACACGAAGTCTGAAATCGTTTCCTGTTTCGTTCCACCATAGAGTGGTCTCATTTGTCAACCATGAAAATACTTACAAAAGGTAAGTAATCCCGGGAATCACTGAGAAGTCCGGCGCTTTACTGACTGCTTAATCCCGGTGAGACAAAAGTACGGGTAAGAGAAGCAACGAGACTATGGACGATCTTTAAAAACAACTCTAAGGGAAAACACAGTTAAAATAGCATGACTGTGATCAAAAATGTTAACGTTTAATTAACATAAAAAAACGATTGAGATAACACTAACAGGCTAAACCAGTTACACCGCTGATGATGCAAAATGCATTGAAAGAAAATATACCTGTATATATGAAGACAGTACAGGAAAGTGGGGCATTAAGACAACTTTATCAAAAACTCTCCCATTATGTGTATGATAGCCACAACCAATGTCATTCTTCCGCTAATCACGTGATAATAGTCATAAATACAGGAACCATAATCTACATACTTGAGGAAAAACTTATATCAGTACTTGTCGCTGTCATGGTCATGTGGATATCAGGATTAATGATACCGAGAACACAAATTAATGATATCTGACGCTCTGGCACATCAGAATGTCTTAAGTGATATTGGCTGCTAAGGCAAAGGTCATATTTATCGTCGCGCGCAGGTCCACCTCTGACTGCCGCTCTAGGGTGTGATGGTAATTTTAAGCTTCCAAGAGGAAAATGCTTTTGGATAAGTGTGTCATTCTCTCTCCGGATGCTCGGTCAAACAGTGACAGCCTTCTCAGGCCGGTCATCTTCAGGATGTAACCATCGAACACTCAGAATGTTCCGCAAACAGCGCTGCTGAAAACTGCCCAACATCTTTTCACAGTGCTTTGAAAGGGCTGATCATCTTTCGAGGCTGTATATCAGGATTAAGAAAACATTTGGCTTTCGTTATGGTCACATTGCAGGTGCAACGATCAGTGTCACTGATCAAGTGAGTTGTGACGCACTTTGAAGCATAAGCACTGAGAAACTGCTGAACGGAAAGATTTTTCTGCTCGATTTCGCATTGTCGAAAGCTCGAGGAATGCGCAGCTTCACGGCAAATGTCCTTGTCTTCTGTGATTAAAAAATCAGGCCTCAACAAAGCGTATGACAGTGCTTGAAGAGAGCTCAAGTCGCGCAATTGTTCTTTATTAACGGTTCATAGGTAGGAACTAATTCTGTGTAACGCCGGGATGCACGTTTTTTTTACCCTTCAGCAATGGACGTCGTTTAGGACACGTGAACTTTTTGTGAACGCTGACACTGACACAGCGTGTTCCCTGTTACGATGCTATGAAACTAGAGTGTCATAATTTTGAAAGCAATTTCTATGCCCGAGTGACCACCACAGTAGTCTGCTTCTTTCAACCTTTAGATCTGCTGTTTTATCTGACGGAGGAAAGGCAAGAAGTGGTAAGAACCTGGCAAGATTTAAACTCGACTTCTCACCGGACAATCCTTCTGTTTCAAAGAAAGAGCTTGCAACAACTGCGTATGAAAAATGTCATTTGACAGCAGCAGCTAGACCAAATTCCTAGGGATGCCATTAACAGCGTTGAGTGACAATGCTTCATGTAATATATTTCTTTTCACAGTTAATCTATTAGAATGGATCCTAACAGGTTATACGTGTTTTATATAGATCTCTGAAGCCTTGTTTTCGGAGGTAATATTTTAGAGCGGAAGAAATGCTAGGATTAAAGAGAGTGCAGATTTCAAATGTTGACTGTTCAGGCAATATCTGGAGACTGCATTTGGGATAATGAAGAGCACAATGTAAGAGCTTGGATATTTAAAAGTTTTGAATTACAATCTTCACTATCCCAAATACAGTCTCCAGAAAAAGCCTAAAGAGCCAACATTCCTCATCTCTGTCTTTGAACCATGAATCGTTCAACCACCTGACGATTATGTTTTATTGCTTTGTTACTAGATTACCCTCTTTTATGATTCGTCACTTGGCATTGCGTTTAAACTCGTTCCCCTGTAGTCCTCTGATATAATGTAACGAAAAAAACTTCTGTTCCTTGGTCAATGATACTTTGAAGCATGGCAAAAAATGGTATTCAAATGTAGTGCCGTTCAAGCAGCACAATTTTAATTGACACTTTCGAGTCTGGGCACATTGTTAGAGCCGTATATGTTTTATCGATACACGGCTGAAGACGACAAGTGAACGTTGGCTCTGCAGTGCAATAACCGGTGCCTTATAGCAAAATCGTTGCAAAGCTGCGAATACAGAGGACAGATCCGAGACGTTCTGTTTATACCAAGTGTCTACGGTGATGATCACACACGCTCAAGTATACAACAAGCAATACCTGTAGCAATATGCTTACAGTCAACCACTTCACTACCTCAAGGTAGGACAGGCATTCGCACGTGTTCTCGTGAGGTCACAGGTACGGTGGCGCTATTCTTCTGTAGCAAAACTACCATGTGTATAACTGGTGCCCCCATTATGTGGAAAAATAATAAAACTGGAATGAAAGAAAGAAAATGAGCATGGCCCCTGCGCAAGGATCACAAAGAATATTTTGTGGCATGATGGCCAAACGGGTAGTGACCAGCTCTAAACTCCGGAGATGCCAGGCTCGGGTGCGCTCAAGCGGATACTACCCAGTTTTATATCGCATTTTCTTGAGCAAGGAATTTACTCCACGTTGCTTCGACACAGCCAGCCGAGAAACGGGAAACAAGTCATTCGTTGACTTGCGGCAAACAACAGAGCAAAATGATATTCTGGCCTGATCATGCCAGAATGGACGAGGTGTACGGCCATGCTGCCTGATGCGAGCGCCTTTCGTGGCTCCATTTTGCCTACAACCACGTGATACATGACCATCAAGTGTAATAATCACCCGAAGCTTTAACCCCGACCACAATTTCAACCTAAAATGGACAAAACAACTACAAAGGAATGATTCCATGTAGAGTGATTTCTTTTCAGTTGTACCACGTATCGAAAAACTCTCCTCATCGTGAAATTTTTTCCTAAAAATATTCAGCAGAAATACCAGAAAAAAATGGGTAAAGAGTGACAAGGTGACATACGATGGAATATAATTCCTTCATTCAGAAACTGGAAGGGTAGAATAATGCAGCAGTGGCAATCAGGAAATTACAACTTTTATGCCTTTGACACAAATCTATCAAGTCAAGTGATATCCTAATAAAGAACCGGCATCGTTTCACTGAAAATGTTTTAATCATCGTCTTAGTAGGCTTGCTGTTTACAACTATCATCCTTTATAAGTGATATGTTTATGCCTAACCATTGTTAGCAAATACTATCTGTCTTGCCAATACAGAAACAAATAAATCATTGGCTGCTTGAAATCAAGAAGGGTGGAATGTAAGGTGGCATCGAACAATTTTATCTGCTGAAAGCAGAGTGAAACTCTTCCACCACACCGATTAAAGAATGACAACAAATATTCACTGAAGCTGTCTAAAATACAGAGCGCACCACGCTTAATAAACAGACATGTTATACTGCATATTAACAGAACTATGCCATTATGGTGTAATACTTTCAGAAAGAAATGCAGTTTCATTTTTATCACGAGCTTATATGTTTGTCATACACAAATATCGCGTTGCTGAGATGGACATCTATACCGTTTGACCCAACACTGCAATGCTACGATTTCCCACTACATGCTCAAATGCTATGGAGTTTTGTCCTAAAAACTAGGCAGTCTGACTTTATCGTATGTTCTCTAAAATGAATTGCGTTAATAAATAAAATATTAATATTATTTAATACTATAATAAACTAACCCTAGTTAGTCACAGACATAATCTAATGTAT